TTCCATTTTTTTGAGACTAATAAAACATATGTTTAAAAGGACACAAAAAACTGGAGTTATAGATATCCAGATAGGAACAGTAGTTATCTTTGGGTAGAAGGATAATGAGTGATCTTTACTTTTTTACTTTTTATTCATTTATGTTTTCTTATTTATCCAAAATGGGTATTGATTTTTAGGAAGTTTTTGAAAAAGAAAAGTGTTGGGAATGAAGCAAGTGATTGATTGGAACACGTACTGAATGGAAGAAATATTTAGATTAAAAATGAGGTAGGTTGAAGTTTCTTCTCTGAAATGATAGATAAATGGTGAAGATGGGGCTTATTGTGAGGAGTAAATGAGATAATATATGCAAAGTACTTACAATGTTCTCGCACCTAGTAGTTCATTAAGAAAATTGGGCACCCTTAATTACCTAGAATGCAGGGTTGGTAGTTTTTCTGGTTGACTTTTGTTTTGCTGGGGCATTCTGCCATGTTTTAGTGTCATTTAAAAAATAATAGTAACAATAAAAGTTAACATTTATTAAGTGACTACTGTGTAAAGTTCTGTCATTCCTGCAAGGCAGCTGTTAAAATAATTTCTCACAGGTTAGAGTTTTCTTTTTTTTCTGAAAATTCAAAGTGTTTCCTCAGACATGATCACACCAGCCTCTGCAATATATTTCTAGTTGTTTGGGGGATGTTATCCTACTTTATATATGAGGCCAGAAAAGGGTAAAATCCTCTATTCACTTACCTGGTTTTAGACTCAGGTTTCCCTGTATGTATTGTCATGTTTGTAGTAGAAACAAAATCAGGTTGGCTTAAAGTTGCTGAGTATGGTAAACCTACTAAATCATGCATATGTAGCAACTCATTTAGCACCAGTTTTAAAAGTGGGGTGATGGAAAAGTGAACTAACATTTTTCCTTGCTCCTATTGTTAGATGAGAGAAAAAAGATTTGTGAGGCGATGGGGTGGGGAGGATTAATTCCTTTAAAATAAATTCAGTTTGATGTACCTGTGTGACACTCAGATGGGGATATCCTATTGTCACTTGAATGTATTGATCTGGTGTTCAGAGGCGATGAATGGGCTACAAATAAGGATTTGAGAGCCACTGGAGGATGGATGATAACTGAGCACGTGGAAGTAGATGTGATCCTCCAGAGAGAAGCTGCAGAGTCAAAGAGTAAAGGGCTGCAAAAGAATTGTAAGGGACTATGGGCAACTGGGGAGAGAAGTATAGAATTGAAACAATGTATACCCTTCCAGATACTTTTACTGTTCATATACTTATATATTCTTTACATCAAATTGGATCATACTATTGATAAATTTTCGGTGCCTGATTTAAAACCTTTCTCCTCAAAAAACAATAATATTCATTGGAGATATACTACTTGAAAAAATAGAGTTGATGAGTACAAACTTGTGCCTTGATCCAGATATGTAGCTTGAACATATAAAATATCCAGATCAAGCCATGTTGAACTTGAGGTGTGGAGTGAGTTTTACACCTGGGGTGAAAATGAGGCTAACTCGGGTAGTAAAAAGCCCCAGTGAGGCAGGTACAGGCCTGACTAGCATCCATCTGCTCCTTTCCCCTTTCCCTTGTTCCTTCTCATTCTTCTTTCCACTTCTTCCCTCTTACTTGTCTTTATTTCCTCCTTCTGGGATATCATTGGTGGTAGCCTCTCTGGGCTTCTCTGACCTTTCACTTCCCATAACACTATGCCATGTATCAGTGGGCATTTAATACAGAATAATTACTGTCATTGCTCTGGTCACAAGGTGACCCTGAGTGTGACTGGATGCCAAGAATTTTTGGAACCTTTCTTGGACAGAACAGAGACTGAGAAGGAACTAATCTTAGCTTGGCACGGTCACACTTGCACTGCATGCATTTTTGATGTCCTGCATTTGATCTTATTTAGACTAAATAACCCGGAGTCTTGGGAAAGGTGTATGAGACAGATGTGTGACTACCTGGTCCAGGCATACCAGATCACATGCTGATGTCCCGACGTTTTCACATAGGAGATTGTCACCCTCAATCCTTTTGGGAGGGACAGAGTTCTAGGATTGTAGCTGATTGTGGCAGCCCATTGGGGCAGTGAGGAGGCAATGTCCTCTCTTTAGAGAGGATGACAGTTCCTGGAAAACCAAGGAAACCAGAAACCCAGAGGATGTCCTGCTATTTTGATTTTGTTCTCATCTAACAGTTTTAGGAATATAAGTGGGTCTATCCCAGTGCAAATATGTTCAAAGGCGATTTTACAAAAGCAGAGTGTTGTTGTGTTATAAATTGTCACCCAATATACATAATAATTCAAGACTCAGGAAATGGATTTTCTTTTTTGAAAAATTCACATTTTACCTGTCTCATTTCAAAACAGATTTCAAGTGTAGGCTTAGCAAATTGATGTGGTTCAGGCAAATTTTATGTTTATGGCTCTTTCATTAATTTCTTTGCTAGGTTCCCTCGAGAATGGCTTTTCAGATAATGATTCATACTATTTTCAATGCTAGCTTTTTACATTAATTTTGCATCGCATCCCAGGCTGAAGGTTTTCTTTGGTTTCTCTGTTTAAATCATGGCTCTTCCTTGCTTTTAAGCCAGAGCTGTTTCACCATCATCCTGAGGTTCCTGATCTGCACCGCTCTGAGGGTGTGGTATTAGCAGGATAAGTAATGTTTACTTATCTGAGTGGTATAGCTCTGTGCTTGACCCTTTCCCCTGGGGCTCTCTCAGGTATTGTACTAAGGGCTTGGGCAATATATGCTTTCAGGGATAGGTGGGAGATGAGGGAGAAGGAAGAGGGGCGTGAAGGAAGCCTTATGAGAGAGGTAACTTTATTCTGACAGGGTGTCCTCAAAGTAGGAGAACCTGGTGTATCCATCTCTGCTGTGAGGATAAAGTTGTTGCTGAAATCGAGTCCTTATATTCAAGAGCTGCAGCACATTTCTCCCTGGACACAATTATAAATTTCGTCTTCCCAAATGCCCCTCTAGCAGAGGCAGAGCATCACTAGGTGGTAGTTTTATGACTACTAACATATATGATCAAATTGGCTGTCAGAGTTTAAGAGATATATACTGTTTTTAGGAATGTGATTTACTTTTTAAAATTTTAGTTTTTATAATGACAAATGATAAAAGTGTGTATCTATATATGGGGTACAGTTATGATACATGAATACATTGTGGAATGATTAAAACAGGCCTATTAACATATACATCACCTTACATATTAATCATTTGTGGTGGTAACATTTTAAATCTACTTTTTAAGCAATTTTGAAATATTATTAAGTATAGTGCCCACTCAGTGAAAGAGACTACTAGAACTTATTCCTCTTGTCTAGCTGAAACTTTGTACCCTTTAAGGAACATCTCTCCTCTCCTAGTGCCTCCCCTTACCCTCATCCCCTGGTAACTACCATTCTACTTTACTTCTATGAATTCAACTTTTTAAGATTCCAAATATAAGCGAGATCATGCATCATTTGTCTTTTTGTGCCTGATGTATTTCACCTAGTACAATGTTTTCTAGATTAACACGTTATTGCAAATGTTGCAACTGACAATTTTTTTTTTTTTAAATTTTTAAATTATGTTGCACAGGCTGCTGTCAAACTCCTGGGCTCAAGTGATCCTCCCACCCCAGCCTCTGAAGTAGCTAGGACTACAGATCAGTGCCACTATTCCTGGCTGGCTAGAATTTTCTTCATTTTAAAGGCTGAATTGTTTCCACTGTATTTCCATTTGCATCTACCACATTTTCTTTACCATCCAATGATGGACACTTAGGTTGATTCCATGAATTCGCTATTGTGAATAATGCTGCAGTGAACATGGGAGTGAAGCTATCTCTTTGACATACTGATTTCAATTACTTTGAATATATATGCAGAAGTGGGATTGCTGGATCATATGGTAATTATAATTTTAGCTTTTTGAGTGGCCTCTATACTTTTTTCTGAAATGGCTGTACTAATTTACATTCCCACCAACAATGTTCGAGGGTTTCCTATTCTCCACATTCTTACCAAAAAAGATTGTCTTTTATCTTTTTGATAATAGGTATCCCTAACACGTGTGAGGTGATAGCTCATTGTGGTTTAATTTGCATTTCCAGATAATTAAAGATGTTGAGCATTTTTTTTCTCATATCTGTTGGCCATTTGTTTGTCTCTT